TCGAGGCTGAAAATTTTGAAGCAATAAGAAAATTTTCATTAAAACTATAACTCAAATAAACCTGAATTTTGGTAAATATATTCTCTGCAACATTGTTTAGATTAATCAATCTAATTACTAATCTTTTAGCAAAATATCTAAGTAAAAATTTATATCAATACATAATTATGCTTTTTTTTTTTAGAAATCCTCACTATAATAAACAAATATATTCATAAGAATACTTTAATCGAAACTTTTAAAAAATACTTTAATAAGAGCGTAAGCATCTAGCTAAAAAAAAATAGCAAGCTTGTGTGTTGTGTCAATTTTTTAGAAAACGTTCCTTAAAAACAAAAGTTTATAACATCAGCAGGGGTCCGTCCAGACATTTTGTGAAAGGTCCGGTTTTCATGAAATTGTGAAAAAATTACTCACATTCTTTCAACCAGGGTCCGCTTTTATGAATTTGTGCAAATAGGGTCCGGTTATTGCAAAAAACTTTTTCAAGGAGTTTTTAAATTGTAAATAGATACGAGATTATGCTCGGCACTGTAAAATTATAATTAAAAAAATAAAATTTTCAAAAACAAACAGCAATTTCTGCTTCTAAATTAGAGATGCAACATACAAATATTTGGCATTTAGCCTATACTGCTGAACGCAGAATATTAATTTCGGACGAATAATGGAAGAATCGTCTGCCGAAGACAANATTCTAAGATTTTTATGTTCTCAAATGATTTAATTTCTATGAACGATGCAGAACTTCACAATTCAGAGAGAGAAAAAAACAATAATAACATTTTTACATAAAATGGAATAAAATGGAATAAAATTTATAACACTAGAATAATTTTTGCTATAATTCCACACTGGTAAAGATCGCCTAGAATTTTTTACTTCATTTATCAAAACCATTACTATTACAATGTAAAAAGTATAGTACCGCTAAAATCTTTCAATTTAAAATTCATAAATATTTCAAATTAAACAACAATTTTTTCTTCGAATATAATATTGCAAGTTGAAAAAGAAATCATCTTAACATCCCTCCCTGGATACACCCACGGTACCATATTGATTACTATCTTTGATGAGAATATTTTCAGAAAAAGATAAATTATTGTCTATCTAACGAGTAGAGATTATTTATTTATTTATTTATTTTTTATTTTATATAACTGTCAAATTTGGTGAATTGCAAATAAATGTTTGCTCATAACCGAAATATGCGATAAAAATCAAGGGCTTAAATTCCCAATTGCATAGAAACTTCGAAAAATAACCCATTATATACAAATTTATTTCATTCGTGAATTAATGAAGGAAACTAAAAAAAAATACTCTTTATTTAGAAGGTAATATATTAACTTATAATTAATCTTAAAAAATCAATGTTTCTAAAACAATGGTTTTGCAAAAAAAATGAATAAATAAAAATAACTGAATGAACTGCTAATATGAATAAGAGGAACTAAAACGTTGCTACCATTAAATACAAAAAATAACTTATAAAACTGCTGCCATGCAACAGAAGAGGAAATTACGAGCGTGCAAAACATTGCTAACGAAAAAGAAGAAAGGATATGCAACAAAATAAAGAAAAGAATCACTGTCATTCGCGTCCATTAAAATAATTGTAAATAACACTAAAATTATAGCAAATTTAAGAATGAAAAACACATCAAGAAACAGTAAAAAAAATAATAACTTCTTTAATATTCATCTAGTATTTTTATTTATTTATATATTTGAGGGTAAGCAGTTTAGATATGCTTTAATATTACTTTACCTAACTACAAGTGCTTAAAAGTCACTTATTAATACGTCATTTCATAGACATACACGAATGTCGATTTTAGTGACCGAAAATTCATACAAAACAACGAATGAATTCATTATAAACGCCATTTTTACTTATCATTTACCGACCCTGCAATTAAATTTTGATAGTTCATTTTACTAAAGATATTTAGGAGAAACGGATTCTCTTCATTCAAGGACCCTATTTACATATTTAAACAATAGGAGTTAATATTCTTTGAAATCGACAATCACATACGATTCCGATATTACGTTGATTTAGCAATTTAAGTAGCTCATACATCTTTAAAAATAAAATGAAAATAATAAGGTTTATTCAAGAAATAGTACAGAAATAACAATTATAAATGTTACGCATAACACTAAGCTGCTTAAGTATTTTTAAATGATGTATTGTATTTTCAAAATAGGGTTGTTTGTTTTTTTTCATTAAATCTGTGATTTTTATTTGTTCAATATTAATGTAAAATATCAAATACTAAAAAAAATCAAATTACTGTAATCCAATGAATATAATTTTGCAAATTATGCTCTTACAATAACTTCCATTGTGCACATTTTAATGAATATTAAATTTTGCGTTTGAAGCATAGAACCCATTATTAATAATTTTTTTAATTTCACTTAATACTTAAATCGAGAAGTGCCTAAAGGTATAGGATGCATATTAGAGGTTCTATAAAATTTAAAAAGCACGTTTTTTAAGTAATCAATTTCTCTTTTCCCCAGTAAGAACTAAGTAAACCTGTATCTCCCTCTTGCTTAAATTTTTGTGGAAAAAAAATCCTTATAAATATTTTATACCATCAATTAATGTAAATCAAATTTATCTCAATAATTTGATTTGTTTAAAACGAAATTTTACATTTCTTTTAATATCTTTTGTAAGCATGCCTAGAACTCACCTAACCCTCTTGTCAGGGAAGATGCGGATATGTATAAAGAACACCCAGAATAATAATATCCGGAAAATGAAAATAGGGCATTAATAATATGAAAAACAATTTTAAATACAAATTAATATCTTCCTAATTAAATTAATAATACTCATAACTCCAAAATCAAAAAGTTAAAAAAAAAAGAACTTTATTTTCTCTATAAGTCATTAATGTTTTGAATGAAAAGCTTTTCTATTGTTGCTATAAAGATTTCCATTAAAAAAAAATTAACGCAACTGAAAAGAATGTAAAAGAAAAAAAAATGTAAACACTAATCCAGAAAAAAAAAAACTGAATAATAAAGTTGAGAATTCTAAAGAAAAAAAGAGGAANAAAAAAAAAACAAAAAAAAGCAACAAAAAAAAAAACGAAAAGAAAATTTTTTTTATATAATTTTGCAACATCTTTATGATGAAATGATTAAAACAAAAATATTGAAATAATTATCTAAACGTTATTCTAATTACATTTTTAAACAAACCTACGCATCTTTAATGTATTAATTGCTATACGCATGGCAATGTCTGGCTTATTAAGAAATATTGTAAAAATTAATATGTAAATTAAAGGAAATATTTAATAAATAATAAACTAATTAACAACAAAATGCAAGCGGATTAATTACAAATACGGTTCAATCGGGAAAACATATTTAAATCAGCTTTTTATATCAGGCTGAAATTATCATCCCAACAAAGACGTCATACGCAGTCTAAAAAAATGTTCTATTGTTTCAATATCATCGATATATTTATGCAGTGTATTTAACAATAATAAAATCCTTAATTAAAGATGAAACTTAGTTAAAAATAACCTAGTGTGCATAAGTTATCGAGTTATATAAGCGCCAGACAATTGATAATTACAGTAGTTGCGGCGAAATCGATGATAACTCCGCAGGTGCTGTTCATCTCCCCCTTTCAAAGATAGTTCTCAAGTGATAATACACACGGCCAAGAGATGAGCGCATCGCCAATTATGGCAACCCTAGAAGATGTTTTGTTTTTGTTGTTTACGTTTTCAAGTGTCGATTTAAATTCCCTTTCTGTCAACTTTCATCCCGGATACAATTTTAATATATATCCACCTTAAAACTATTATACAAAGTTATATTAAAAAATTCGCTTCATTGTTTCCACTTTTTAATGACTATTCTCATGCATTAATAATTGATCTATTGATTTTTCAAACATTAAGGTACTCATTAAAATAAACATAATCACCAGCAAGATGAGAATGTTATGGTGTTGAAATTAAAAAAATATTTTTGAATGTATGTTCTCAGTAAATTAGTGTCCATTCATGATATATATTAACATTAATGTTAACAATTAAATAACTCATCATTATTTTTTTTAAGAGTAAACATTGCAGATCAAATGTAAATAATGATACAGTAAAAATCGTTTAGTTTAAGGCAGTGCAAAAAAAAAATAATTTAATATTAAAGAAACAAATTAGAATTACAGACAGAAAAACCATTCTTTTTTTTCAACAAAGAATAAAATCGACAATACGATTAATAGACAATAAAATTAAAGCATAACAGCGCCAAAGTAACATTTAATCCCAATTACAAATATTTAAAAAAAATTTAAACACGAGGAAATAATTTATAATTTTTTCGTAATAGCAATATTAATTATAATTAACAAAGGAATTTTTGAAAAATCAAAGTAATTAACAACATATTTGAATCGGAATTGAGCTTAAATGCCTAGGGAAAGTAATTAAGCATAGAGGTCGACGATGCGCATTTAGGTAAAGCAAACAATGAAAAATATCGGCAAGAAAAGAAAAATATTCATCAAATATTATGTAAAGATATGCGAAAATGTAGGCTTAGCATCGATATTTATGATTAGGAGAGCGGATCGAAGAAAACGCTTGTTCAGCATAGGAGAGAAAGGAAGCACCAGAATATCGAACGTCTGACTGACGCTAGTTATTTGAGCTGCGCTATTCCATTAGCGAAACTCAGCGCAATATAAGAAGATTTTTTAAGCCCTGAACGCTAAAAAGAATCCGTACGAAAGCCTAGAAAAGGCGAAGAAATTTTTGTTTTTTTAAAGACAGCTTTAGAAAAGTGGGCCCCTCCCCACGGGGGTAGAGCGACCGACGCTTGAGAAGCTTGCCGAACCATGCCAGCCAGCCTGCGGCTAGCACGTCTGACTGCCGCCTCGCCCAGGCGCGGAAGGGGGGATTAGAGTTCTTTGTTTGCGGAGTATAGAAAAAGTTTTTGGCGACAAAACTTACCGACTTGCAGAACATTTTCTACGCATCCTGTTTCGTAAAGGCGTAGTCCACGGTAAAATGGAAGTTTTTGGTAATCGCTACAACTGTTACTATCACTTGAGAGAGAAGAATACATGCATATGTCCCTCTCATTTCGAGGAAACGACCAATAAATAATCCTCTTCTGCACAGGTTCGGGAATGCGATCATATCTTTCCTCTATCCTTTGGAAAGGTATGTGAAAGGCCACAACTTTTGCACACACATCGAGTAATGTTTCTGGACATCGTTTTTCGTCCACTTTGGAATCGGCACTTAGTAATCTTACACTATTAGTTAATGAATTACTACTCATCCGCGAACAGCACAGTCTCGGCGCTACCGCCATCTTGAAACATCTGATACAAGTCACACAGAGAAGCGGCGCTACGCATGCGCCGATCCATTTAACAGTTTCATGGCGCTGGCGTGCCATACGATAGTTATCTGAGAGTGTGTGGTTGCTACAAAAAGCGAGGCTATCGCTCTCGGAATTCACGCCAAACTGATGAGATTCAACTAGTAAACTCGCCAAGATCAGCGTTTTCTACTATTTTATTTCTGCCAACTAATAAAGTTAAAAATGAATTTTTAAATTATAGATATGATGAAAAAAGTGTAAAAGAGAAACTTTGAAACGCTACAATAACAGAAAAAATTGTGTATGATATCGTTATTTACAGATAAATACATTCTAAAATAAGTTAAATAATAAAGATTTCGCACCTTTTTTCGCTACCATTTATTTTTAAATTACAATTCTCAGAAAATTAAACAATAAAAAAATTATAAATGCTAAACATTATTTTAAATTAACATTAAATTTAATAAAATGAATTTATATTGGTATATTACTTTAAATGTATACTAACATCAAACTTTACCGGTTTATGTGTACTTAAAATAAAGAAATTTAAAAAATAAATAAATAAAAGATAAGAGTTTAACAGGTATGCCTAATGTATTCCAAGTAAGAGATTATTATAATTAGAAAAAAATCAAATCGGAAAAATTCAAAATCTTACCATTAATTAAAACAGCAACTTAGGATAGCTTTGTGGCAATTTTTTTTTTTTTTCAAATATGTATGTTTCTAAATATGATAAGAAAAAAAGGAACGATACTTATCTTAAACCATTTGAATTTAAATCAGGGTAAACTTAAAAATGTATATTTCTAGCAAGTTTAAAATCTAAAACACTGAGTCATTTTTTTTTCTTCTTCTTACTGAATTTAAAAAAAAACTAGTCCTGGCTAGAGGTTCGTCCAGTAAAACATATCCAAGTGTAATAGCACTGAATCTGAATTTTTTTTTCTAAAAAATTCATGTTTAAAATGTTTGTAATAAAAGAAAAATATGAATTTTATGGCTGGTTAAGTATTAAATATGTGCAGTACTCTGTTCTAAAAATATATGAACTTTTCTTCTAAAAAATAATTTAATTTTAAATATTACATGCTATATATTAAGGAATATTGTTAATTGATCCCATTTTCATAATATCCATTTACATTTTTTTAAGAATCAAATAAATTATTGAACAAAAACAAGCATTTGCTGTCTCAAAAATACTCATACAAATAAATATATTTCACAAGAGAAAAAAAAACACACAAATAAACAATTAACAAAATTTAATAAGTATTAATGTTTTTATTATATCTTTTAAATTTATAAGAATGAGACTCCATTGAAAAAACCATATTTTGAATGCTTTTAGAAAATAATTCACAACCAAATTTTCTAAATTTCAGATAGTAAATCTTAGATAAATAGTGTCTTCTTCTTCAAAAAAATATTTCAAGCTAAGAGTTCCCATACATTAAAAAGTTCAAATATGGACAAAGTGATAAAACCTTAATAAAATTTTATTATAATCCCACTTTTATAGAATTTCAAGTGCGAATTTTTGATCATTATTTGCTGAAAATACATTAAAGACAACACAATTAGCAACGACATTAAGTTAATTTCGGAAATATGTTTGTACTACATCAAATTTAATTTCCCATTAGATTATGCTAAAGGATAAGATAACCAGCGTCCTCAAGAAACTAAAAAAACTGGTAGCAAAATTTCTGCACTAATATTTGAAAACTAACTGCTTTACCTTTCCAAATTTATATTCTAAGAACATAAATCCTTTGCATGGATTCACTAACAGAAAGTTTTCGAATGTTATCTCAGAAATTTTACTACCACTTTTTTAGATTTTTGAGGCCGCTGGTCACCTTACTAGACCCCTGATAAGATGGATCAACCGGGCTGAAAATAACCTAAACAGTCTTTAGGTTAAGAAATGGAGAGTAGTTGCCAACTGTAGAGATACCCTGAGAAAACTTTAGAAAAAGGCCAGGGCCTACCTAGGCAAACTGGAGAAGATGAAGAATAGTAAAGAAGTGTAAATTAAGTAATTGGACTGAATTATGTAGCATACAAAAGATTTAAGCTATAGTTAGAACACCTAGATAATTATGTTATGTACTTCACGAAAATACTGCATTGTTAGAAATTTTAAAGCTTATTGAACCAGAATATCATTCAAATTTTCTGTAACCTTAATATAGAGTCAAGTTGAATCCTGTAAATTAATCCATCTGAAACACAACACCGTGAGAAAGAAATATCATTTTAACATCTTATTAAGGTTACAGCAGGTTAAAACAATATTATAGTTTCACGTTAATACAACTTTTCAGAGAGTATTTCAAAGATTACTAAACGAAAACATTTAAAGTCTTGTTTACAGTTTTGCCGAATTAATCAAAACAACTGGTTATTTCGTACATTAACAGACAATAAAGAAATAATGACAATGACTTCATAATAATTGACAATAATAGTAAACCTTATGTAACTAATAAATGTGCCAACGGTTAAGAATGTTGCAAAACTTTATTCCATCGAAAAATACAAATAAAAGCCAATGCAACAAATTTGTTGCAAAAAACACCTTCGAATCTGATGAAAAAAATGTTTACCTCGTTTCTCGAAGTCATCTAGTAATATTTATAATCATCGTAAAGTTTATAATCATTTATAATAATATTTATAATCATCACCACTTTTTTTAATCAATAAAAATTAAAGATATTCATCCAGTTATGCTGCTTTGTGTTATTTTTTTAAAATCATTTTTATTTTATTTTTTATTTTTTTAACATCTCTTTCTTCTGCGAAATATGTTTTCAGAGACTACATAATTCGAAGCAATTTTTTAGAAAGACAAATGATTTCAAGTACCGTTTATTTATTTTTTCATTAAATAATCACAAATCGAATATTTTCGAGCTCTTCCTATTCTTTTCTTGGTTACCCGCTTATTAGATTTATGTAAAATTTTCTTATTTGGAACGATTTCTTACTTCTTCCTTACTGTATAGCTTAGAAAATTACAGACTTCGCATTAAGTACTTCGCATAGAGCATGCATAAAAAAGGAATGCTAAACGAGAATTATGAAATAAGCATTGCAAGTTAATTCTGAAAGATCCTGCACTAATTTAAATATTCATTTTAAGTCGCAGAAAATACTTTCAAAAATATTTATAGATATATTTATTTGTTTTATTTATTATTTTAAGAAAAATATTTATTTGTCTCATTTTTTTTACTTAATAAATATACGAATATATTGCAATTTATATCAACTATTTTCAAGTTTTATAAGGTAAATAGATTTGATACATTTAAGTACATATTTGAAATATTCTCAAAACTGTAAAATCTATACTTTAAGGACAGAGCGTATATAAAAATGTTGTGAGTCAAATTTAAAGAAATTGATATCTCCCGGAATTTAGAGTCTGATTACGTAACTACATATGCATTCACCATAAAAATATTTTTAAACAAATAATCCTATTTACGAAATTATAACTTGGAAACCTTTGTCGATAGTGAATAGATATAACCAAATAAAAGTATGCCTAATATGTATTAGCTATTAAAAAAATACACAATTGTAAAATTTGTAAAAAAAAATTTTTTTTATTTATACAAAAAAAATTTTTAGTCTGCAGATTCGAGAAAATTCTTCTAGAAACTGAAGTGACAGTTCAAAAGATTTTGACGGAACCTCTAAAAGGTTTTATAAATTTATTTAGATCTATAAAGAAGAAGAATGAAAAATTATTGAAAAAAAAATTGAAGCTTTGAATTACCTTGTTATTCTATTGAAAAAATAATTATTCAACAGCATAATTATTGATAGATAATTAATGTGAGCAGTTATATAATTATTGATAGATAATTAAAGTAAACAAGCAGCAGGAATATGCAGTTATTTCTCGAAAGAATTAGTCAATTTAGTTACAGAGTAAAATAACTGTAAAATTATAATCTGTATTATTGAAAAAACTAGTATTTGATGATAAACTAATAACAGACCATCAAAATAGGCAATTAATTAATGATTCTACACTTTAACTTGTTCTTCTATTAAAAGAAAAATTAATCTGCAATATTGATAGATAGTTAAATTGATCAGCAGCAGGAATACACAGTTATTTCACGAAATAACTAGTAAATTCAGTTAAAGTGTGAAATAACTTTAAAATTAGAATCTTTATCCGTGAAAAAACTAGTATTTGATGATAAACTAATGATAGACCATTAAAGTAGGCAATCAACCAATTTTATAATACCTTTTATAATACCAGGTATAATAATTTTATTATACCTGTTATCGTATTAAAAAAATAATTACTCTTCAATATAATTATTGATAGATCATTAAAGTGCGCATGACATGTGACCCGGACCTTACAGGCTCTTAAACAGACATTTACGGCCTGGGAAGAAAATGCAAAAATAATTCACTTATCTGTAAATAAAGTATAACAAAATATTTGCCTTGTCTTAAGTCCTATCCACAAATTACCCACTTCGAAATTAAAATTTATATATTTGAAAGGGTTAGCACTTTTGTTTATTTAGGAGTGGAAATATAAACAGCAATAATACTTTGACCTCTGAAATACACAAAAGAATTATACTTGCAAAATGATGTTTTTATGGCCTAAAGAAATTTGTAAAATCAGACTTACTTAACGGTGTTTTTCGAAACTCTGTCGCCAAGGAAAATAATTTTAAAAAAATTATAGTTTGACTGCCTTACAATTGAGGCAATGAGCTGATTTTAAACTATACTTATAATCTTGCCATGAAGAATCATCTGGGCTTTAGAACAGACTAATAACTTTAATATTTTAAAAGTTATTAAACTTTTTTAAAAAATCGCCAATTTGGCGACATTTTCCCACCTAAATGAAAATTATCAAAATCACTGCCTTATTCTCAGTTTTCGTAAATTTTTCTGAGCCCAGGTATTGCAGCATTGGAGTAAGTTTTTAAGTATAAAAAATTCGACCACAAACACTTTTCATTTTCACAAAACTGTGGCTTTTCTCCGTATTAACGTTTTGAGCCATTC